CCTAACTCCCCACCTACACTCACCTTTACTGGCCCCATCCCCGCCTCTTCGACCTGTTTGTTTCCTCTCCACCTATCCTCTCCTCTATCCATCTTCTATCCGCCTCCCACTCTCTCCCTATTTATTTCAGAACCCCCTCCCCCTTTTCTGATGAAGGCTCTAGGCCCGCAACGTCAGCCTTTCTGCTCCTATGATGCTGCTTGGCCTGCTGTGTTCATCCAGCCCTGCATCTTGTTGTCTCAGATTCTCCAGCATCTGCAGTTCCTACTATCTCTGATCCAAAGTTACATCAGAAGCCTTTAGCTGTAAGGTAGCCAGCAGGATATGGTGAATGGTGCTCCACCTCCAGCTAATGTATTATCATGCTTTGCACAGCTTCAGACTTTAACTTACACATTGTATTGTTACGAATTTATTTGTTCAGTTTAAAAGTAAATAAAATACTTCTTTCTAAAATCTGTACCAACAGCAGAGTTCAAACGTATTAATTTAAAAACACACAGAAGTCACTTGTCACAACATTTTACTGTCTAAGGCTTCTAGTGAACATAGACATTTGATTGGACATTACAAAGAAAGGCAAATGGTGTCTTGGGCTTTCTGTAACAGGTAATAGTTTATTTTACAATTTTTTCAGTATATAGAAGTGAATATAGAAAATGCTAGAAACAATCATGTCAGGCAGCATCTGAGGAGGGAGAAACAGCATTATCCCTCCAGATTAATGACCTTTCATCATCATTCACTTCTTTCAGCTCCTCCTTTTCATCTAAGGTTGCCACAATAACGGTTGATTGCCCATCTCTATCTCCTCCTGTCTGTGAAACATTTTTTCTTCTAATCCCACTTCATTAAAGTTTCCAACCACATTTTTCCATTTAATCTTCAGTTTTAGACTTTTTTTCCCCAGGAGTCCCTCCTCCATCACCAGCCCCATCCCATGTTCCATTCCCCCCACCCCACCTCTTCTGTCCACAACATACAACCATACCATTTTTATTTCTTCTCAGCTACTTTCTCCAAAGCTTCCACAATATTCACTAGCTTTCCTGATTAAGTCCTTTCTCGTCACTCCGCACATCCTTCACCACATCTGCACCTCATTAGTATCCAGTTGCTGTTACTCTCTTTTTGAGGTTTCTTGTTTGGCACTCCTTGTACATCTCCTGTAATATTCATGCATCTGTCTCAGGGATTGCACAAATTCTAGCACATCCTCAGGCTTCCTTTCTAGTCATCAAGTTAGAAGCCTTTGCCAGATCGAAGAATACAACCTGAATGTTGCATTGGTCATTCTAATATTTCTCCATCACTTGCCTCTCAAAAAACTGGTATCAATGGTGCTTCCTCCAGGCATAATCCATAAGGTTGTTGACCTTTCATTGGAAAAGTGTTATCATCTCTGCAGGGACCAGTAACTTGCAAAAAGGAAATTTGAACTTACATTAATAGCTGAAATAATGACATGACAGAAATTTATTTTTCAAGACTTTCACTGTAACAAAAGACTAAATGCCACCTTTGAGGGGAACATAGACTTGAAATCATAAACAGGACATTCTTTTTTCTTAAGTTCAATCAAAAACTCACTTCACAGAATATACTTTACAACCTAAGGTGCATACCTCTGAAGATCATTTTTCTAACCCAAAATAGGCAAATCTTTCAAACTCATTTAAAGTCATGAATTTGGTCTTCCAATCCAAACGCAAGCTTCTTTTCAGTGAGCCACAAAAATGTTCAGCCTCTAGCTGCAGTCTGATCCTAAAGGTCTGGTAAGACTGTGTCTGAGAGTTTTCACAAATATGTTAGAAACCCTTAGTCTCTCAAAGCTCATTTCCATGACAACATGAATTACACAGGCCTTGTTTCCAGGTAGGAAAACAGATTAGCTGCCCTCAAGTTCTATCATCATGCAAGTACTTTGAAAGTTTACAGCATAACCATTTACAACATGAAACTCTCAACATCCTCCTTGGACTCAGACGAGCAGCCAAACACAGCAACCGGTCTCAACAGACTGCTGCCATTGTCTCAAAGTGAGCAGAACACCTTATATCTTCTTCCAGCAAAACAATCTGGGTCTTCCTTTAATCTTTCACAGCCTCCTCAGCCAAGCAGACTTCAGACAGGTCATATGACTGCCTTCATTTTACCATGAATTAAACTTTAAATTATTAAAGAAAATCTTATAAATGCCGTAACTGTAACAGCTGCAAAAAAGGTGGAAATGTAATAGTTTTTAAGCAATTGAAAGGGGAGTGGAGTGTAAAAGTGCAAAATGGAACTTCAGTGATAGGCTGAATGAAAAAGTGTAGATAATGCAGGAAATATGGATGGAGCAAGAAAGAAAAGATACATCTAAGAGAAAGTGTAAATGGCAAACTGATGAACAGTTCCTTCAGAAGGGAAGAGAATATAGAAGACATGGTTGATAAGTTGGCAGATTGCAGCAAAATTTGTTGCTTAGTAGAAAACCTTCTTCACTGTCTAAGATTACAATTGATTAGACGGATCAATGGGCTGAAAATGACAGATGGAGTTCAATCAGGATAAATGCAAGCTACTGCATTTTGGTACAACAAACAAGGATAGGGCCTTGGGTAGTGTTGTAGAATCGAGGAACCTAGGGGTTCAGGAATGTAATTCTTTGAAGTATGCAACTCATATAGGACAGGGTGGTTGAAAAGGCCTTTGGCACAATTGCCTTCATTGCTCAGTCCTTTGAATGTGGGAATTAGTAAGTCATGTTGAGGTTGGACAAGACACTGGTGAGGCCTCTTTTGGAATACAATGTCCAGTTCTGGTCGCCCAGGTATAGGAAAGATATTATTAAGTTGGAGAGGTTTTGGAGTAGATTTATAGCTCGGGTTGTGGGTGTTGAGGTTGGTTGGCTCGCCGAACTGGTTTGTTGTTCCAATTACGTTTCGTTACTGTGCTTGGTAACATCCTCAGTGCAGCCTCTGATGAAGCGTCGGTGTGTTTTCCCGCCTGGTTTTTAAACTCTGGGGTCCGTTGCGATGGTTTGCCTCACTTCCGGGTTTCCTCCGTAGTGGAATGTATATGGGGTCGAGTTCAATGTGTTTATTAATAGCATGCTTCGTGGAGTGCCATGCTTCCATGTTTCCAGGAATTCTCGTGCTTGTCTCTGCCTAGCCTGTCCCAGGATCTTGGTGTTGTCCCAGTCGAAGTCGTGGTTCTCTTTGTCCATGTGGATCGAGATGAGTGAGTATTGGTCGTGTCTTTTTGTAGCCAGTTGGTGTTCATGTACTCTTGTTGTTAGTTTCCTTCCTGTTTATCCGATGTAGTGTTTCTCGCAGTCTCTGCAGGGGATCTTGTAGATGACATTGGTCCTGTCCATGGCAGGGAGTGGGTCTTTAGTTCGGGTGAGCACTTGTCATAGGGTTGTACCAACTGGCTACAAAAAGACACGACCAATACTCACTCATCTCGATCCACATGGACAAGGAGAACCACGACTTCGACTGGGACAACACCAAGATCCTGGGACAGGCTAGGCAGAGACAAGCACGAGAATTCCTGGAAACATGGAAGCATGGCACTCCACGAAGCATGCTATTAATAAACACGTTGAACTCGACCCCATATACATTCCACTACGGAGGAAACCCGGAAGTGAGGCAATCCATCGCAACGGACCCCAGAGTTTAAAAACCAGGCGGGAAAACACACCAACGCTTCATCACAGGCTGCACTGAGGATGCTATCGAGCACGGTAACGAAACGTAATTGGAACAACAAACTAGCTCAGCGAGCCAACCAACCTCAACAAGCTGGAGAGGTTTCAGAAGAGATTTACCAGGATGTTGCCGGGTATGGAATGTTTGAGTTATAAAGAAAGGCTAAGTGGGCTGGAACTTTTTCACTGGAGTGAAAGAAGTCGAGAGGTGACCTTATACAAGTTTCTAAAATAATGAAGGGTATAAGTAGAGTTAATAGTAGTTATCTTTTCACTAGGATGGGGGATTTCAAGACTAGGCGGCACAATTTTAAGGTGAGAGGAGAGAGATTTAAAAAAGACATGAGGGGCAATTTTTTTAAATTTTTTTTTACAAAGTGTGGAATGAACTTCCTGAGGGAGTGGTGGACGTGTGTACAATTACAACGTTTAAAAGACATTTGGATAAATACATGAATAGGAAAGGTTTGGAAGGACATGGGCCAGGAGCAGGAAGGTGAGGCAAGTTTAGTTTGGGATTATGTTCGGCACAGACTAGTTAGACTGAGGAGTCTGTTTCCATGCTGCATGACTCTAAAAGTAAAAAAAAAGTAAAACCACTAGGTTTTCTGGCATTTTAATTTCCCCATCTTGCTCTTGTGCTCACTCCCTATCATCAGCCACTTGCAGTATTCCAAGGAAGTTCATCACAAGCTTAAGGAACAGCATTTTCTCTATCAATAAGTTAATTTACGGTCTTCCAATTTCAGTGAGTTCAACAATTTCAGATTGCAGCTTCTGCTACAATTTTGTTTCCTTTTTCTTTGCAGATTTTGGTTTTACTCTCGTTTTTCCTCTTAATTTTTGCTCTTGGGTGGCAGTTGTTCGTCATTCTGCCATTTGTACCTCCTCTAGACACGTCTTTAATTAACTTAACCCATTACCACTTCCTTCTGCCTTTCACTAGCAACTGTTTTGGCACTTAATCATTCCTGTTTCCCACACTATTACAGACCTTCTATTTTGTTCTTTTTCCCACCATCTCCCCTTTCACTTGTTGGGAACCTGTTACATTTTTAAACTTTCCCCAGTTTCATGAAAAATCATAGACCTGAAATGTTTAACAATGTTTTTCTCTCAAGAGATGCCACCTCACCCGTACAGTAATTCCAACGTTTTCAGATTTTCCGTTTTTATTTCAGACTTCAAACATAATTTCTAATGCAAAAGCAAAATAAAGGCACGGTAGCTTTCAAATGTCACTTCCAAATCTCAAGTTGGAATTTATTTTTATATTTGTGCTTTAATAAGATACAGGAAGCACGACAACAAAAAGAATCCAGCGATAGATTGTACTGAAAACGACATACCTTTTCTAAAGTGCCTACCATCTGTGCATTTTTAATACTTCAATTTTGGTTGAGGGGAAAGTGAGGCAAGGATCCTGACACACATACGCTGGGCTGAATGGCATCTTTCTGTGCTTTATTTCGTCAATGGGTTCTACGGTTATTTTTCAAATTTAATATTTTTCTTTTTAATCATCTTCTGAGGACAAAATACTTCTAGCAGCTTCTCTAGCCTTTGTCAGACTGACATATCAGATACAATTACTAAGCCACAGGGTAGAATGTTTAAATAGGAATAATTTGGAATTTTCACAGTGAAAAGTTGGATCACCAACAGGACAGTTAATTTTAATCAATTATTATTCTTCTTTCTTAGAACCAAGAACAATGTTCACTTGTCCACAGTATCCATTCATCTTTATGCATCCGATTAATTTAGTCAGCAGTTCTGTTCCAGATGGGAAATAAGTCTTACTTTCCTAAAGTAAATGGTGAATTTTAAATTAAAATCACATAATTTTGAAGAAAAATATTCAAAAAGAAAGTAATTTGCTTATACAAGTTAAGCCTACATGTGTTACTTCAGAAATCTCTAATCCCTGGAGATCTATGTAAATACACAATGTTAAGTCTTGTTTTAGTTGCAAAAGTCAACGTTCCGAGGGATGGAACAGTAATCCTCTATGATTTCAACATGAATAAGCATTTTTGTGCTAAATAAGTTCAATACTAGATTTATTTTATTTACTTCCAACCAACTCGAAGATCTTACCCCCGGGCCTAAACTCTTATCTACTACAGGGTGCTAAATGTGTGTAGGAGAATTCAATACTCTTTTTGTCAACACTGTATCTCTCCATCTCTATTTCTAATGTTTTATCAACTAACTTCATTTTTCTTAAAAAAAGGGCAGAATTGTGAATGAAAACGTGAATGAATCTTCATTGCAGACTACATAACATACATTAAAACTTTTAAAAGCAACAATGACTGGATTTTCTAACATTTTTGCGTTAGAAAACTCAACATATCAATAATACAAAAATTGTTAAAGTTTCAAGCAATTTAGAAACTAAAATGCATTAAACAAAGAATTGAAGGGAAAAACAAAAACTTACCCTTTTAAAAGCCATGGGTTTATTGATGTCAGAGCTAATAATTTAAGAATAAACCATACAGCAGTTGGGAAAAATCCAAGTGTGAAGATCTGCACAAACATGTGAAGTTTTACATGCATCAAAGCACTAGTCAGCTCCTGAAATATAAAGGGGGAACAAAGTGGACATAAAACTTTAAAATAACAAGTTTGCACAAATGCTAGAATAGAACTAAAATCAGACATTTTAATGTTTACGTTTTTTTAAGTCATAAACTAAATAAAACCTTCAATTTATCTTCTAGATCTGTTCTGCCTAGAATACTGATCTCCTCAAACTTTTTCTATCATAAAAATAAAACAATGGACTACTGCTTTGGTAAATGCTTAACAGCACAACTTCAACTGTGTCAACCATTAGGGATTGTGGAATATAAAATTTGGCTGCCCACAGAAATTCATCACAATTCTCCACCTACTTCACATGTGCAAAGCGTGACTGTCACAAACGGATCCACCACAGACCCAGAGTACAAACTGGGGTCAAGCACAGCAGTCATCACACCAACACTCTTCTCCATCTTCTTAGCTGCAGCACCCTATCAGACTACAGCCAAATTACAGGGTAAGCAGGAAACTTCAACCTTCAAGCACCACCAGGCCAGAAACAAAACCACCCCAACTTCTGTTATCAGGCTGCAGCACACAGACAATGCCTGCGCATGCACAGAGGCTGAACTACAAAGCATCATCAATGCATTTACATAGGCCTGTGAGAAAATGAATCTCAGACCAAACACATGAAAAAAAACACATTCTCTACAGCCTGCTCCTGTTAGAAAACACTGCACCCAACCAAAACGGTCAACCAACAAAATCCATGGCAAGCCTCTAGACAACGTGGATCATTTCCCATATCTTGGCAGCCTCCTCTCAGTGCAACCAAGCATATCAATGAAATCCAACATTGATCCAAAGTGTTAGTGCATCCTTCAGATGCCCAAGCAGAGTGTTCAAACACTGAGACCTTAAATTCAGAACTAAGCTCCTGGTCTATGGAGCAACTGTGGTCCCCACCCTTCTGCATCCATCAGAAGCATAGAAACATGGACCATGTACAGCAGACACCTCAAATCCCTTTGCAAAACCCTACCAACCTACTGGCAAAGATAGGTGCACCAATCTGACCACGCTCATCCTGTTTATAATTCCTGCTATTGAGGCACTGGTCATGCACAACACAAAACTTCCTGGACCATAATTCTATTAGTTTTAAAGTAGTGACAGAAAAGGATAGACTGAATCTAAGAGCTGAAGTTCTAAAATGAAGGAAGGCCAATTTTGACAATATTAGGCTAGAACTTTCAAAAGTAGATGGAGGGTGGGGGTAGATGTTCGCAGGCTGGGAGATGGGAAGTCTTCAAAAATGAGATAACGTGTGTTCAGAACAGTACGTTCCTGTTAGGGTGAAGGGCAAGGCTGGTAGGTGTAAGGAATCCTGGATGACTAGAGAAATTGAGGTTTTGGTCAAGAATAAGAAAGCAGCATGTGTCAGGTATAGACAGCAGAGATCAAGTGAATCCCTAGAAGAGTACAAAAGCAGTAGGAGTATACTTAAGAGGAAAATCAGGAGAGCAAAAAGTGGACTTGAGATAGCTTTGGCAAATAGGCTTAAGGAAAATCCAAAGGATTCTATAAATACGTTAAGGACAAAAAAGGGTAACTAGGGAAAGAATAGGGTCCCTTAAAGATCAGCAAGGCTGCCTATGTGTGGAACCACAGCAGAAGGGGGAGGTACTAAACGAATATTTTACATCAGAGTTAACTGCGGAGAAGGATATGGAAGATAGAAAACATGGGGAAGTAAATAACGACATCTTGTAAAATGTCCAAATTATAGAGGAAGTAGTGCTGGACGTCTTAAAATGCATAAAGGTGGATAAATCCCCAGGACCTGATCAGGTGCACCCTAAAACTCTGTGGGAAGCGATTGCTGGGCCCATTGCTAAGATATACCATTGATAGCCTTGGGGGAGGTGCTAAAAGATTGGAGGTTGGCTATCCTGGTGCCACTATTTAAGAAAGGTGGTAAGGAAAAGCCAGGGAACTACAGACATTGGTAAGCCTGACAATCGGTGGTGGGCATGTTGTTGGAGGTAATTCTGAGGGACAGGATTTACATGTATTTGGAAAGGCAAGGAGTGATTAGGGATAGTCAATGTGTGTTTGTGCGTGGGAAATCGTGTCACACTAACTTGAGTTTTTGAAGAAGTAACGAAGATGATTAATAAGGGCAGAGTGGTGGATGTGAGGTATACGGACTTCAGTAAGGCATTCAAGAAGTTTCCTCATGGTAGACTGGTTAGAATGGAATACGGAGAGAACTAGCCATTTGTATCCATGGGGCAAATTTTTCACGCAGAGGTTGGTGCGTGTATGGAATGAGCTGCCAAAGGAAGTGGAGGAGGCTGGTACAATTACAACATTTAAAAGGCATCTGGATGGATTTATTAATAAGAAGGGTTGAGAAGGATATGGGCCGAATGCTGGCAAAAATGGACTAGATTTATTTGGGATGTCTGGTCTGCATGGACGAGTTAGACCGAAGTGTCCATTTCCATGCTGTATATCTCTATGACTCTATGACGAATTGCTCTACTCCAAGCTCAGGAATGGTAAGCAATCACTAGGAGAGCAGAGGAAATGCTACAAGGACATCCTGAAAGCTTCCTAAACAAACACATCATCCCCACTGACACTTAGGCATGCCTTGCATTCAAATATACAAACTGGGGAAGAAGCATCTGCAAAGATGCCAACCATTTTCAGCAACACCTAGCAGAATATGTGGAAGTCAAGTGCAAGCAGCAGAAACAGCAAGCAGAATCCAGAGTGTCCCTCTCAACCGCTTCATCAAAAACCACCTGTCGCACTTGTGGCAATTTCTGTAGCACAGGATTCGATTATTCAGCTACTGCAAAATCACATCCCCTACCCACTATACCACACCCCTCCACCCTCCACCCTCCACCCTCCACCCTCCCCAGGCCAGAAGCAAGTCAGTCATTCTCAATCCCGAGGAACTACCAAAAAAAAAAGAATTTCTTAACATTATTTATTTTAATTAATCACTTCACGTCTAGTAAAATATAATTGTATAAACAGTGCATCTGTTCCTGAGAGGGTGAAGGGCAAGGTTGGCAGTAGGGAACCCTGGAGGACAACAGATATTGAGGCTTTCACCAGAAAAAAAACAAAGGGGAATTGGCATGGCTCAGGTACAGGCAGCTAGGGTCAAGGGAATCCCTGGAGGTGTACAGGGGATACAGCATTTTACTGTGAAGGAGGAAAACAGGGGGACAAAAACAGGGCACGAAATAGCTTTGGCTGAGAAGATTAGGGTGAATCCAAACAGATTCTTTAAGTATACTAAAGGAAAAAGAATAAGTTGAGAAGGAATAGGACCGCTCAATGACCAAAGTGGACATGTGTGTGTGGAACCACAGGAGATGGGCAAGGTCCTCAATGAATATTTCTCCTGTGTGTTTACCATGGAGGAAGACATGGGAACTTGGGGATGCTACTGGCAATATCTTGGGAACAATCCATATCACAGTAGAGGTGGTGTTGGTCATATAGAATATATGAAGGTAGATAAATCTCCTGGTCCTGACCAGATATATCCAAGAACCCTGCAAGAGGCTAGAGAAGAAATTGTGGGGATCCTGGCTGATATATTTGCATCATCGTTAGCCACAGGTGAGGTCCCGGAAGACCAGAGGGTAGCAAATGTTGTGCCCTTATTCAAATAGGGCTGCAAACAAATACCTGGAAACAACAGACCAGTAAGCCTAACGTCTGCGGTAGGTAAGTTACTTGAGAAGATTCTGAGGGATATGATACACATGCATTTGGAAAGACAGGGTTTGACTGGGAGTAGTCAGCATGGCTTGGTGCGTGGGAGATCATGCCTCACAAATTTGTTAGAGTCCTTTGATGAACTGACCAGGAAGATTGATGAGGGCAAGGTGGTAGACGTAGCCTATATAGATTTCAGTCCGATTTTTAATTGGGTTCCACATGGTAGGCTGCTCTGGAAGGTTAGATCGCATGGAATCCAGGGAAAGTTGTCAATTTGGATACACAATTGGCTTGATGGTAGGAAACAGGTAATAGTGGAAGGATGCTTGTCGGACTGGAGACCTGTGATTAGTGGTGTGTCTTATGGGGTCAGTGTTGGGCCCATTGCTGCTGCTATCTATATCAATGATTTGGATGAAAATATGCAAGGCATGATTAGTAAGTTTGTGGATAACAATAAGATAGGCAGTATCGTGGGCAGTGAGGAAGGTTATCAGAAATTGCAGCGGGATCTTGATCTGCTGGGGAAGTGGGCTGAGAAATAGCAAATGGAGTTTAATATAGATAAGTGTGAGGTATTGCATTTTGGAAACTCAAATCAAGGTAGGAGCTTCATGGTGAATGGTTGGGCCTTAAGGAGTTTAGTGGAACAGAGGGACCTTGGAGTTCAGGTGCACGGTTCTCTGAAAGTGGAATCACAGATAGACAGGGTGGTGAAGGCGGCTTTGGCACACTGGCCTTCATCAGTCAAGGCATTGAATAAAGAAGCTGGGAAGTTATGTTGCAGTTGTACAAGAGCTGGTGAGGCCACATTCAGAGTATTGTGTTCAGTTTTGGTCACCTTGCTATAGGAAGAATGTTATTAACCTGGAAAGAGTGCAGAAGAAATTTACAAGCATGCTGCCAGGGCTCAAGGGACTGAGTTATAGGGAGAAGTTGGACAAGCTAGGACCTTCTTCTTTAGCGTGTAGGAAATGGAGGGGGATCTTATACAAGTTTACAAGATCATGAGGGGCATGGATAGGATGAATACACTCCCCAGGGTTGGGGAAATAGAGGACTAGAGGGCATCAGTTTAAGGTAAGACAGGAAAGAATAAATGGGAGCCTGAGGGGCAACTTTTTTTACAGAGGGTGTTACGCAAATGGAATGAGCTGCTTGCGGGAGTGGTTGAGGCAGGTACATTAACAACATTTAAAAGGCATTTGGCCAAATATGTGGATAGGAAAGGTTTAGAAGAATATGGGCCAAGTGCAGTGAAATGGGGTTAGCGTGGATGGACATTTTGGTCAGTGTGG